TATTAATTTCTAGAAAAACTTCGAAATATATGTTCTATTTTAGTGATAAAACCACCCAAAACACAATTCCAAACCGCATATAACGGATTTTTTTTACTTACAACCCGAATTAAGTAGCAAAAGAATATGAGGCATGACTATATATAAGCTACACATACTACAACTATGAGATACGGTAATAAGCTACTATTTACCCAAAAGCAAGATCGAAATCTTCAAGTTTCCCGATAAATCTTCGAGTCAGACAACGGGTTCTTTCTTTTTATCCGTCTTCTTTCTTGAGAGAGGTTGCCACTTAAATGGTAAGCCAACGCTTAGTGAGTTAAATAGTTAAGTATTACATATTAATATCGTACATGTTTATAAACATACATAATAAACTCTTATCAATAAAAGAGTTCAAGACATCATCCAAATGCAAACCGAGATTTACAAAAGTTGTGTGACTCCATTCAAGACCAAAAACATTCATATGAAAAAATATATATGTTCAAATCAATATTTAACAATTAACTATATAACTCACCGAACAACCGTATAATACCGAAAAGCTCCAAAATGAGCTCACAAAGAAAGTCCAAGCTACCACACTTAGATTGCTTCCAAAGCATCAAAATATGTCCTAATTACCCCCTGGAGTAAATGTACAAAATCTCATAAGCAATCAATATAAGAAACTCATGATATACACATACCCTATTTGAACATTTTAATTAGATTTCTATGTATAGCTGCTGTATGCAGAACTGTTTTGCCCATTTTAAGCTCGAATTCATGCCTTAATCATAAAATAAGAAATAAACTAGACTCAATTATCTAACTAAGGAAATTGGCCTCATCTCATTTGGATTTTTCTACGATTTTATACATATTTTCAAAGTCTACACACTTTCAATGCATTCTTAAGTCGAAATTCTCATTTTCATACATTTTTCTCAAACCRTTTCGATTCCAAACCATTCTAACTTCTGAATCTCAACTTAATATAACATATTTGACATAAACAACCAAAATCCAACCTTTATTTTATCATTTATATTATCTCCCAAATCATTGACTTGATCAAGTCAAAGTTCATATGATGAACTTGCTTAAATCTTGATAATCTCTTGAATCTAATGACCATTTCAAGCTAAAAACACTAAAATGCACTCATTTTATATACTTAAGATCAAACCCATATAAAACCCTAACTCTATCTCAACATGCAATCCATATAACAAGAATGTCAACCAAGAACAAGTGCAAAGAATGGATTATACATTACTTGATGATCAAATCCTTCAAAGATCTTGTAATTCTTCTTTGATTTGAGTTGAATCAAGCCTATGTGTGTGAAAATCACACCTCTAGTGTGTGTGAGTTTTGGACTTAGATGACATGAAAAATGGGCCAAAAATCCAATTTATAATGCTAAAACTCGAGTTGGGCCGGGTTGGCCCAACTAGGTACCTATTTTGACCATCAACACTTAAATTATTCATAACTTTTCGCTCGGACCTTCGTTTTCTATGAGGTTTTCGCCTACACGTTCATAAAGAAATAATCTATAACATCTAATAAAAATATTCCAGAAAAGATATCCCAAAAAATCCGTTTTACGTATCTATTTGACGTGATATTTT